ATACTCACGTCTGACCTTGATGTTAGTTGTGAACACGTGTTCATGTTCCTCTTCTGTTCAGTACCTTTCCTCAGGACAAAAACCTTGAGCTGAAATGCCCCCATTCCTGTACTTCTCTATCTGGCAAAAATCCCATTCCTTCTTCCAGGCCCAAGTCAAATGCCAGCTTCACTGTACATGAGGCACGTTCACCTCCAATTCCTGTCATTGCTTTGGGCATGGAACTGACAGTAGATGTTATCACATTTTATTATGCTTGATTCTATAGTTGCTAGTGTTTGCTACTGAACATGAATTCTTGTGTGTGTGTGTGTGTGTGTGTGTGTGTGTGTGTGTGTGTGTGTGTGTGCATACGGAACTGGAACAGTTTTCTGTTTACATGCTTTCAGGCACCCAGCACATTATCTGCTCATGGTCAATAGCAGGGCCCTAAATATAGTGACATCTTCCTATAGTGAAGACTTAACTCAAAGCCCAATATGATAGTAGTATTGTAACCTCTGATAACTTCTCCAAGTCAGATTTCTCATTTAACAAGTGTAATTTGACAAATTCATAGTATTAGTCTAAAGAGGAAAGGGAATTTTTTTCTTTAAGTTAGTTAACATGGTACTCTCAGCATTGAAACTTTTCAACAAACAGAATTTACGGTTGGTATTTTTGCTGCTGTAGACATTATTACTGTTAAAAAGCAGAGGGGAAAGGCGCCTGGAGATCCTGCTGTAATGAGCTTGTCCAGTAAACGATAATATCAAAGGTGAGGTAAATAACAATGTTGTAATTATGCAACCTGCCACATGCTTGAGGTCAGAATCATGACAGAAAAATAAAAATTGAAGACGTATGTATGCTGTATATTAGAATACCTTGATGATTTCTTTTCATTTTTAATCTTTTCACCACAGTTTAAATTGCTTTCAGAAAAAAATTTAAGGAGAAGAAATGAGGAAAAACGATTTTCCTATAACGGAATTTTGTTCTAGGAGCGAGGGAGCCAGCTTAGTAGTGTATATTTTGGGGCATTTCTGGACCACATCACTACTGAGATTTTGAAAGAAACCATTCTTTGTGATGCAGAGCTGCCCTGAATGTTGTAGGAGTTCAGCAACATTTTTGGCCTGTACTCACCAAGTGTGAGTAAGTGCCAATTTCCCCTCTCTCCCAGTGACAACAAATGTGTTTAGAGGGAGCCTTTGGTAAATATCATCTCTGAGCAAGTGAGCAATGTGCTAAGCTCAAACATGGAGGTGATAAAGTCAGCCTTTATTATTGACAGCCGGAGTTGGAGAACATGAGTTTAGGTCTGCAAACCAAACTGGGTGAAAAACAATAAATAAAGCCACCTTACCCATAAGGTTCAAGGGAAGGAAAGATCATCAAGGAAGCATGGTAAACTGGTCTGATCTATCTAGAGACAGATCACTTTCAAGACAGAAATAGAATGGCCTTGGTATTTTGCTGAACATGATCAGATTTAAATGATTCTCTTCCCTATGGATTTCCAATGCACATAATCTAATTATTTGTAATCCTTGGTTAATACTGTCGGGTAACCAGTGCTCGTGACAATTGGTTTTTAGTTATTTAAATAAGTTGATAGCATTGATTGTGTTAATTCATTACTTAAGAATGCATTTCCCAAAAATAAAGAAGAAAAATGTGACAACTGCCTACCATTCCCATGGCATATGAGTTTTAATTTGATCTTCTATTTCCCTCCACCAAAGAAGTCGACATGATACAATTATTCTGAGTGCAAAAAATACTTGTGAAAACCATGAATAGTTTTTTTTTTCATAATACACATTCTAATCAAAATTTGAAGTACCTTTGTATGCACAAATTTCAGTTTTTGTGTACCAATTTATACTTATCTGTTAGTTTCCTTTCCACAGACTTTTTAAAAGTACACTCACATATCTTTTCAAACTTAGCAATAAAAGAAACAACCATAGGAATGATCGAGCAAAGTGAGCAGAGAGGGGTCAGAAATGGCCTTAACGAAAATGTTCCTTGAGGAAATCAGAAAGGAGGAGAAGGGTTTCCTATGACAGGTGATGCTGAAGCTCTTATGTTTCCCTATTTTGTGAAGGTTGCATGGTGTCCCTAGAAACTACACACATGACAGCAAAACTCTGAAGATCATGAGATGTGTTCAGAATGTGAGGGACCATTACTTTTTATTAGTGGAAACTCATTTTTATCAAATGGAGCATGCTGCGGTCAGATTGACACTGGAAGCCTAACATCTACATGCCAGTGTTCTCATTTTGTCACCTTTCATGCCAGAGTTCCACTGTGCATACTGTACTTTTTCTTTAAAAGATAACAGCTGCTGTTCCTCTGGGCTAAAATTCCCTTGACTTTGAATTTCATGATTTTATTTCCTGGCATAATGAAAAGATTCCTTTTGACCACAAGAGCATACCATTTTAGAGTTGATCAAATCTGTGGTCACTGCTCCAGGGTGGTAAGTTGATATTAAATGGGACTTTAATGACAGATTCAGGTTTAAAATTCTATAAGGTACTTGTGCCATGTTTTAGAATCTGGTAAGTGGTTGACAATTAAGTATCATATTAATACTATACTGTAGTGGCTGTGTTTGTCTAAGTATGCAGAGGAGTTATAATTCCATGTTTTTTTTTTTTTAGAAAGTCAGATATACAGAGATTAGGAAAGATATAGAGGAAGATCTTCCGTCCAGTGATTCACTGCCCAAGCGGCCGCAGTGGCTGGACTTTGCCAGTCTGGACCAGTAGCCTATCCAGGTCTCCCATTGGGTGCAGGTTCCCAATGCTTTGGGCCATTCTTGAATGCTTTCCCAAGCCACAAGCAGGGAGTTGGATGGGAAGTGGGGCTGCCAGGATTAGAACCAGCACCCATATAGAGTCCCAGCACTTGCAAGACAAGGACTTTAGCCATTAGGCTACTGTGCTGGGCCCTGATTTAAAGTTCTGTATTGCAAAACATGTAGTGTTGCAAAAGGCAGCGAGTAATAGAAGGAGGGACAGTTTGACCAAATTCACTAAAGAATAAATTCCATGGCACTGGGATCTTTTCTTACTCACTGCTAAATTACTATCATTTAGAGTAGAAACTGGCTCACAATGCTAGTTGTTACCTAGAAATGAAAGTTCTTGCAGAAAACAAACAAGACAATGTGTTTTGTTCTTGGGCATATTTCACTTGTCCATCACTTGCTGGGTGGTTTGTGTTGGTCATTTACTTTAAACCTGATGGCATGGTTATTAGTATTATTATCATTGTTATTTTTCCCCTGAAAAAAACTGGGGCATAAAGGAGTGAAATGATGGGACATAGGGCAAGGATTCAGACCATATAGATTTTAGCAGCCAAACTCCATAAGCTCAGAGGAAAATGTACTGAGTATTTGTCGTCTTGACTTGATTTGGCCAATAGTTAATATTAATCATCAGTATGCTAAAATTAAGAGCACTTCCTTTAAAATAGTGCGTTTATAGTTGATCAAGTATAACTTGTCATTCAATACTCCATTGACAATCTTTAGGGTACAGACAGTGTATTTTGAAATTCTATGAGAAATTGAGAGAAAAACTCTCATTGTTCCTGACTTCCTTGGATAGCACCAGGTTTCCGTGTAGGTCTGTGAGGTCTAATTGTTTCAAGTGTGCACTACAAAAGGCAAGCCAGCCTGTGTGTTTCCCAAGCCCTCTTTTAGTGTGACTTGTCTCTTTCTCTTACAAGCATCCTCTCATTTGTCACTTACAAAAATATGTCATTCTGTTTTTAAGTTCAATACAAAATGATATTTTAAATATCTTTTTGAGTGGTAATCAACAGAGACTAAAAGAATGATTTTGGGGAGATTTCCATATATTTTTCTATCCTTCTCTTTATACATATATTGGGTCTTGTGGTGACAGTATCAAAGCAGATATTCCCTATTTAAAAAAAATAGTTCAACTCTTCTAAAATTTTCAAAATAGTAGGAGGTACATGAGTTCCAAAGATATACACTGTCCTTTGATACAAGGACAGGAACTAGGAATTACCTGTTGAAACTGTAGATATTATGTCATGCAAAGGATAGTAAATGAGGTGAGGAACAACAATATTTTGACAAATTCTACATATTTGGATGTGCATTCAATTATAAAACACCTTGTATTGGTTTGATATTTTCAAAACATATTAATTAAGAGATGTTCACAAAATTGGGCAGTGACATTTTCCCTTGGTGACATTTTCTATCTGCAAATAAATTTAAAACAATTGCTCACCTAACTCTAATATGAATAAAAGAAATTTGTACTTAACTATTGCAGTCACCTAAATTACTGAGAAAATATGTAATTTTGTTCAGTAGCACACTAAATTGTTGGTTATTGAACAAAATTTGGCATTAAATTATCCTAGATGGAAGTGTTACAAGTTGTTAGCATGAAGGTTTTACTATCCAAAAAAAGTAAATGATTTTGAGCATCTACTTTGTGAACTAAGACTCATGTGTAATGATGGGCAAACATAATTATGCTTCTTGTCCTTTCTGGTTCTACAGTCCTATGTTGATAGGAAATAGTGATCAATCATATGCAAATATGCATTGTTGATTAGTACTGTGATGCGATGGGATGGTGATGGAGCTATGTGATGTGAGAACTTGCCCTGTCTGGGAAGGACAGCCATAGAGAGCCAAGGTGGAGGCAGGATAACTTTTCAATTTTTGTCTGAAGTCTTAAAAAAGGCCATATCATTTAAATGAGCATTTTCTCATTGATGAGTTTCCCCAAAAGGAATAATTTAAAGTGTGGTAAGTACTGGTTCATAAAAACAAGGCCTTACTTTTATTACCAAAATTATGGAAATGCTTAAATATCCCAAAGGAAATTAGTTAGATGCAACATATCAAACATTGTATTGACCATGCAGCGAAGAACTATTTCAATACACATGCAGTTTTCTCTGGATTCCCTTATTATAAGCTATTTAAGAGTCTTCTTTCTTTCATTCTCCAGCATTCTGTGAAGAGGGCTGCAGATATGGGGGAACGTGCATCGCTCCTAACAAATGTGTCTGTCCATCCGGGTACACAGGAAGTCGCTGTGATAAAGGTAACGCAGCCTGTATTTGGGGAGGTTGAGTCAGAAAGAATGGGAGCTTTTGCTCTGAGTAAAGACATGATACATTATGCTGTGGTGGGAGTGACTTTGCCAATGTGGATACCTTTTGATTATTGCATAATAGACCTCCTCCCTCTGAAAATAAAGCTTCATTTGCCCTCCTTTCAATTCATCTTATTCAGCAAGGTCAAGTCTTTGCTGTGGTTTGCAGTGTGCCTTGCTAGTGCTAATTAGAGATAAAGTCTGATGAACTGACCTGCCCCACTTATCATCTATTGGATAGCGCCACACTTACTATTGAAGTTATAATAACTGCTGTGTCAACTCTATCTAAATTAGATGCACATACTCCTTGCGTTAAAGCACATTAAATAACTCTTGCAGCAGGTTTATTGTCATGCTTGCTATTTATTCTCATACTGGTTTATTAGGAACATTATCATTCATGGGCCTGATAAAATAAGCTAATTAGTATTAGCAAGAAACCACTGTATACACCTTTTTGTTTGCAATAAATGCAATGTCCCTTGGCACAATGTGGTGACATCCAGCAAAAAGTATTCCTATTTATGTTCAAGTGAAATTTGATGTTCAGTGCCAATGCAAATGTAAATTCAAGCATGGGGTTTTGCTATGTGACAGTAATTGTTTTTTCCAATTGTGTTTTATTAAGCTAAAATCAATGCAAGTTTTTCTATTTCAGTCCTTTATAGCATACTGGATACTTCTCATATCACAGCATAGGTAAAGGGGAATAGGATCCTGTAGCCGTAATTGCTATTATTAAGAAAAAGGGAGAGTGTACTTCTTTGGTACTGAATATCTAAAAAAAAAAAAATCCTCTTGTTTCTTCCCATTCACATTTACAATAGTTGGACTTAGAAGTACATTTAAAAACAAGTCCCTGTCCTGATGAAATGTTACATTGCACTATTTGTATATTTCTAAGGCAGCATGAACTATTTAAAAACATGCCCATAGAGACACTGGTGAATAATGTAGTATTATTCATATGTTTTGTGGTTTTATCCACAAATCAAATCATTTATTAGAATTAGTTGATTGATTTGACCTTAAAAGAAAGCATATACAAGTGCCATTTACTGCCTCTGAGTGAGCATAAAAAAATTAAAACATGGAGTTGAAGAAGTCTTACCAAAGGCAAAAACAAACCAAAAAAGGTAATGATAACTTAAAACATAAACCCTATTACAATGCATTTAATTTTAATTAATTTTCTGAAATGAAAAATCATCTAAATGATTCTCAAAATGTCTTCTAAAACTACCATATGTTTATATATATTTAATACATAGGAATTAATGGTGACAGTATAAGGAAGATAACATCAATGATGATGGATGCAACAACTAATGATATGAAATAATTATGTGTCAGGATGCATAAATTTAGAATTTTAACACTAAGAACTAAAACTCGTAGATGTTGTTACTGCCATTTTATAAGTAAAAAACTAAAGCCTTGCTAGAATAATTTCTACATTTAAAAAACTGAGGATAAAACTTATACTGCATCTTACGCAGTTTGCATTACAAATACTGCATGTGTTTCTAAAGAAAAACACATGGATTTTTTTTTATTAGACTAGCTCTTTCATGCTAAACCACAAGCGGGATAGGCATAGAAGGAATATTCTACACAATAAAAGTACACAATAAAAGTAATGTATGAAAAACCCAATGCCAACATAATACTGAACAGAGAGACTGGAAACTTTTCCACTAAGATCTGGAACTAGACAAGGATTTCCACTTTCAACACTGCTATTTATCATAGTATTGAAAGTCCTCTTTAAAGTGATGACACAAGAAGTTTAAATTGAAAGGATTCAAATAAAAATGAATAATTAAAATAATTCCTGTTTGCAGACCACATGAATCTATACTTGGGAGAACCAAAAGACTAAATAAAAAAGACTATTGGAACTCATAATAGAGCTTGGCAGGATAGCAGGGTAGAAAATCAATGAACACAAATCAATGGCCTTGTATACACAAACAACTCCATGGCTGAAAGAGCACTTGTAAGTATAGTCCCCTTTAAAATAACAGAACAACCATAACTATCTTGGAACTAAATCAACACTACTGAAAACATGGAAGACCTCTATGATGAAAATTTTAAAAATGTTCAGAGAATATAATAGAAGATGAAGACCTGTATCGTGTTTTTGCATAGGTGGAACCAACATCATCATAATGCCCATATCACTGAAAGTAACAGATGCAGTGTAATCACAGTCAAAGTCCCAACAACATTCTTCTCAGAAATAAAAAAGAGGATGCAAAAATTGATCTGGAAACATAGGTGATGACAAATAGCTAAACCTATCCTCAAGAATGAAAATTACACCAGAAGAATGAAAAATTCCAGGCCTCAAGATGCATGACAGGGCATAGGTAATCCAAACAGGCTGGTACTAGTACAGAAACAAAGAACATTGGGACAGAGTAGCAACCTCAGAAGTGAGCCCAAACAGTGGCAGCCAACTTATCTTCATATGAAAAAAAAAAAAGTGCTCAGGCTCCCTAGCAATTAGCAAAATACAAAAAAAAAATTTTTTTAAACATATATTGAGGTTCCACCTAACTCCAGTGAGATTGGCCTACATTCATAAATCTACGAACAAGACCTGCTGGCACAGATGCAGGAAGAAAGGTACCCTATTTCACTGTTAGTGGGAGTAGGCTAGAGCAACCACTATGGAATTCAGAATGGAGAGTGCTAAGACAACTGAAAACTGACCTACCATATATCCCAGATATCTCACTCTTAGCTATATATACAAAGACAATAAAATATGCAAATGAAAAAGTGACCTGTAAGGCTATATTAATAGGAACACAGTGCACTGTAGCAAAAACATGGTTATAATCAGATGCCTGTCAAAAAAGAAATGGATAAAGAAATGGTGGTGCACTTATTAAATGGAATAATACTCAGCCATTAAAATAATGAAATGCTACCATTTGCAGCAAAATGGTCTCAACTAGAGACCATTATGCTCAATGAAAAAATCTAATCCCAAAAGGACAAATATCATATTTTCTTTCTAATGCTAACTCCATGCAAAATACAAAACAAACATGTATAAACATATACATACATATATTCACCTATGACAACTGTATAATGGAGACTAGCATACCAAGAATTGAAGATGCATTGTAGTATGCATCTCTATGCTCAGAAAAGAGGAGGAATTTACAGTAGGATACTAAATTTTCTACCATTGCCTATGCCTACAGTGCCATGATACATTTAAATAACAGAGTGTGGACTTGTGACTATTGCTGAAAGACTGTACCATTGTCATAATATCGCAGACTCTAAATCCATGTGAGAGACCCAAAAGTAGTACCTGGCATCAAATTAACTCAGCTCTGGCTATTATTGCCATTTGGGGAATGAACCAATAGATGGAAGATTTTCATCTTTTCCTTTCCTTTTCCCCATAAATCTGAATTGTCTTTCCAATAAAAATGAAATCTTTAAAAAAAATTAGATAAAATACTAGATCCTTTCAATGAAAAATAAAAATAAACAGATTCTTGAACTTCTTTTGACCCAAGTGAGTCAGAACATATGCACCATGCACTACCAGTGACCACAATATTTAAATATAACATCTAACATGATTTTTATTACTCTAAAATTATAAAAATTTATATCTCATTTATAGAAAAATATCTTTGTGAAAATGCTGATGGATACATCGCCTTTTAGTGAGAATTTGGCTGGGTTATATGTTAGAATTGGTAGTTGCATCAGCAAGAGCATGTTAGCTAATTATGCCACATCTTCTTCCTCATATATTATATGAATTGTAAATTCATAATATAAATATAATTCTATAAGTATCAGGTATCCAAAACCAGAGTCTGGTGAATCACACAGTTGATTCAGAAATGTTTTCACCTAAGGTAACTAACTTTCAACAAACTCGCTTGGCTGTTGAAACTCTCATTGTTTCCATGGTTTCTGAACACATAATAAGTACTTAATAAAAATACTCAGGTTCTCGATAAATAACAAAAAATTAACAGTATAAGTCAACCAATATAATTTGTGTTCTTATTATTATTTTCTTTTCCCTTTCTGAATTTTATAGTTTTTGTACATTAAATTTACATTATTTTTGTAATAAGAAATGGCTTTTGTAAATATCTGAAATAACACAAACGGGCTTTTTAATAGATGTTATTAAAAAAGAGTTCATTTTTCTCGGTTACTTGGGTCTTCAACCTTTTCTAAAGAGAAATAGCATCTTTCAGAATAATTTATTTCATTATCTTTCCTATGCCCAAGGAATTAAACATATGTAGATAGAGGGCAAAATTTGCCCCAAATATGTTGTCCATTTACCAGGTAAAAATAATGGTAAGAAACAAAATTCTGACCCTATGTTGATCTGTTTTCCATCTAGTGTTGTGCAAACTGTATTCCTAGGGGGAGATTTTAGGAATCAGTATGGTCTGTAAGAGTTTTATAACAGAGAAGAGAATGCTTCTTCCTGCGTGTAATGGGCTGCAGGACTGTGGGGGAGAAAAGTTGGGAAAAGGACAAATGAAGATAGCTCTTCCCATTCCCAGTGTGTGCTTTCAGGATGTCTGGCACAAGATACATGCTCAGTAATCGGCAGCTTCTGTTAGTTATGGGGCTAGTCTTTGTGTGCAAGTTCCCAGAAAAGTGTGAACAAGGCTTTTGTGGGGTAAATTAAGAAGGGGATATATGAAACTTGGAGGTTTCTGACTACCTACTCCGTTAAACCCACCACCCCTCCCCCGTTCAGTAAAAGGATGGATTCAAGTGTGCCTTCAGTATTCCATAAAATCATGTGAGTGTGAATTTGGTTGTAGGTATTCCTGTCTTAAATACTTCCAGAAGTGAAAGTAGCAGAACAGAGGCGCTGACAAGAGCGCAAACCCACTTTTACTGAACTCCTTCATTCACTTTAACTGCAGCTGGAA